GTTTACCGGTATCTCGTCAACTCAAGAGAAAGAAGTGATCTTGCACAACAGAGAATAGAAAGAGTCTCGTTGTTCGAAAGAATATACGAAGGAAAAAAGAACGAATTGTATCTTTGAAAAAGAACGAGAGAGAAGAAGGAAGGAAAATGAAAAAAAAAAAAAAAAAAAAAAAAAAAAAAAAAAAACTAAAAAGAAGAAGGCAGAGAAAAATATTTTCTTCTTGTTATGAAATCAAAAATAAAAGAGAACAATTAATATTTTTCTTATACAATTTTATATTACATAAATTGAAATCTATGACGTGTAAATATCACGATTAAATCCATAGATATATTGGTATTAATAATTATTTGAAAAATAAATGTATAATTGTGTGTAATTTATTATGAGAAGATTATTTTCAAGATATTTACAAAAGATACAATTTAATATTCATGAATACAACGTATAGAATAAAACGAGAACACTTTAATACGTTGTTGTAAGGAAACATAAAAATGTATAAATAATTGTAAAAATCGAATCATTAACAATTCAGTTGTTTTGATCTCTGTGCTATTATCAACTAATGCTAATTATATCGGATTGAGGAAAATGTTTCTTCGTATTTTACCGATAATTGCTTTCATACTAATCGTATCCGGATAATCTAATCGTAGAATATGATAATTCAAAAAAAAAAAACACTTTGTAAAAAATTTATAATAAACGTTTATGTGTAGGAATACGCGTGACACACGAAGTTACTTTAAAATTTAAAATGATGTCAAACAAATGCATTTTATTTCTGATACAACCACAATAAATCGTTAAGAAAAATTCGATTTGTCAAAAATTCAGCAAGACTTTTCAGATAAATAATTGTATACACGTCGAGGATTAAAATAATTGTTTAAATTAATAAACACACTAGATGTTATTTAAGTTTGCATTTAAAATACGATTAAACTTATTCCCACAATCCACAATATACTTGAGATCGTTTGAGTAAAGTTGAATTATAAATCGTAATTCGTTAACCGTATATCGAAGCAGTTAAGGAAAGTGTGTTTCAATAGATGCAACCTATATATGTATTGTACATATATAGATATATATGCATGTGTGCATACATAGCAGATAGTCGCAATTTACATATATCCAATTTGTATAATTGAACGTTCCATGGTAGTAGGTTACACATGCGATCTGTTTAAAATGTGTATATATATGTGTGTGCGTGTGTGGGTATGACTATATCTAACATGACAATGTTACTTGTGTTCTACGAACTAGCTCTAGTATAGGTAAGAATAATAGTCATCGAATCTATTCTATCTTTCACGTCTTTGTTTATTGGAAGATATTACGTGTAAGTATAATAGTTTAAGTATAATAAATGGATAGATCATTAACGCTAGAATGACTTACAATTAATAGATACATACCTATTTCTAATCCAATACTTATCTAATACCAGTAGTATCTTGGATAATAGTTATTGTGATTTATAATAGAATATCTCTTAGACAAGATAAATTCATTTTTATTTATACAATTAATAATATCAGTTCAAAATAAAAATTGTTATAATGATGATGATATATTATATTTGATAATAATCTTGCATTGCATAATAATAAACTAAAACAATTATTTGAACATATAAATAAATGAATTTAGTATTAAAAAATAATACTAAACAACAAAGTGTGACTCCAGTTTATTCAATTTTCAATTAAAAACCTTTTTGAGTCCATTGATATTATAATATAACAGAATATATAAATCGTATTAATTTATC